AATTATTCCCGCATGTTTCCTTGTTTCCTTCAGAAAATGCGTGTACCCTGTTTCACCCTCGAAACTTGTACCCTTGATCGCTCAGGAGGCATCGGTTTGCGATTGAGCAGCCAAACGTGCAACAACGCAGATGCACACAGCGAATACGAACGTATTAAAAAAAAAAAAAACGAGCGCCCCCCTCGGCAGTATTTTGTGGGTAATGTCTTTCACGAGTGAAACTGATCGCCCACCGGAAGGCTTTTGCTGTGTTGAATCGCATGGTCTCTCCGTTGTTTTTGTCGTCAGGGTGCGTCAGCACTGTCTTCGGAGTTACCACGCGCGCACGTGTGAATTTTTTTACAGTGGCGTCGACCCTACGCTAACGGGCTGACCAATGACATGACGTCAGTCCCAGTGCGGCTAAAAACAGAAGATGCTTACAAACGTGTGTGCGCGTTGTGTTCCTTTGTCTCACGTGTACAGCCTTGCCCGCTATGTACCGAATAGACGAAACAAGCCAATCACGACCACCGCAGGGGTGCAGTGTCCTTATTTCCTTTCTTTCCTCGCGCAGTGTCTCTGTGTGTGCTTCTTTTCGCACCCATCTCACGTTTTGGAGCGTTTTTCTACCGTTGTACCCTCTCTCTCCATCTCTCTACATATATCTCTATCTCTCTCCCTCCCTCTCTCTGCCCTTTTACATACTTCGAAGTAGTTACGCACTAAACGCGATTTTTGCTCCTCGTTATTTCGTTTATTTCGCTTTCGCAGCTGCTCAACTTGGCTCTTGAGAAGCAGGCGATCGGGAGGGTCTACCGGCTGGGACAGACCCGCCCCGTTACGGTACGATACGTGTGTGTGTGTTGGAAGGGGTATTTTCGTGTGTGTCTCACAGGCCCGCCACGTTACGGTACGACCGTGCTGCTTCCGATGCTGTTGTTGTTGTTGTTGTCTTCACATTAAGAACCGTTCCGTTCTATCTGCTTCCGATGTGACAGCCAATATTTTTCTGTTTTCTTGGCAACTGAACTTTGGTCTTGCTCGAACGTATTCGACACACACGTGATCATCTCTCCATTCATTGGGTTGCCCGTGTGCTGTGCTGACCAACGTAGAACCTTGGTGGCGAACATTGCATGTTTTGTCGGTTTGCATTTTTTTTTGTGGATGCACCAGCCGGCCCGATACGTTTGCGTGTGTTTATTCTATTTTTTACGATGTTCTTTTGGTGTCCAGTTTAAGAAGTTCGCCCTCAATGGTGTGTTGTACGTTGTTGTCTTTGCTACTGGTGATTTGCGAAGCTCATCCTCGAGGTTGTCTTGCTGCTACTGTCCGTTCGGGCCACGTATAGGTCGTCCTCACGGGCTGTGTTGTCTTGTTACATAATGCTGCTGCTGTTGATTCAGGTGACGAAGCTGGTCCTCAAGGACTCGATCGAGACCCGCATCCTCGCCCTGCAGAAGAAGCAAGCGACCGAGGGCTCAGCCTCCGCCGCCGTCGGAGCACCCAGCAGCTCTAGCAGCGACGGGTAAGGGCCGTTTTAATCATGGCTATTTCTTCCAAAATCCAAATTCCAAACATTTGGAAGTCATCGAAATCTTTGGAAATTTAAATTTTTCCAAAAAATTGGAAGTGACCAGGGCCCCAAAACTTTGGAATGGTGGCTTCCGAATCGGAAAGTTTCCAAAGTTATTGCCTTCGAACTCGCCGCGCAAAGTTTCCAAGTTTGGAAACGTTCCAAATATTCGGAAAAAAAGTGCTCTGTTTTAAACGGCCTTCAGCCTTAGTATTCCGTAGAGGTAGGGAGTATTCGTTGATGTAGAATTAATTACCAACAAGAGAGGGTGAGCGTTTGCGTAGGTGAACTGATGGTTTTTTTTTTTTCTGCTACAGGGCAGACAGAGATTTTTTTTTTTTTGTAGTGTACTTTTTTTTCCGATTCCCAGGGTGCGCATCGCAACGAAGTTGTGTCTCCCCCCGCTATGTTTCCCCAACATCTAACCTTTTTCTTTTCTTTTTTTTAACGATTCAACGACAGCGTCGCGGGCAACATCGCGAGAGACAACGCTAAGGACCTGAAGATAGGCGAGTACAATGCCCTATTCGGAGTCTCGGAGGGGGCGGGCGACAGCTTTGGTGGCGACAGCAAGCCGCACACCACGAGCTCGTACCCGTACTAAGCGTAGTCGTCCCGTTTCTCGCCACTCCACCGCTACGAGGGCGATGCGCCGACAACCTAGGACTACTGCTGGAGCTGACATGATGGTCCCGGGATGAGCGTTAGCGTGCGCCCAAGATCAGATGGAGTAAATTGCCTCGACAGAAAGCCGCAGACCAAGAGCCCGACGCAAGAGGAAGGCCTGGCGCTGACATGATGGTCCCGGGATGAGCGTTAGCGCGTGCCCCAAGAAGAAGGAAAGTGCCAAGAAGAAAATGCTTTCCACTGCCCAGCGATGTGATGACGATTACTCGAGAGGAGGGTAGTTGCTCCTTCGGCAATCGGTGCTCCTGTCGGAGGATGGGCGGCAGCAGGTCGCTCTGGTTGTTGTCATGTTCGTGCCGAGTTGTCGTTCGTTTGACCGACTCTTTTTTTTTTTTTATCTTCCAAGCTCGCCGGTGAGTTTTGCTAGCGCCGATGCTCCTTGCGGGCGCCGGCGTTTTTGTCCACCACCTTGTTTTTTGGGATTGTTTCAGTTCGAGTTGTTCCAGTGGTATGCATACTCCCTTGTTTTTGGAGGGGGTTGGTGGTCGCCAGCGAGACCCATGCTGTGTTTTTGCGACAGCATCAGCTTTCTGTTTTTGTTTTTTGTTTTTTGCTAGGCCTGAACACAGCCCATGAAAACCCCCCATGAAACCCCCCCGTCTTGGCGTTTCCAGTCATGAACGCGTTGCGCGGCTGTTTATTTTTATTTCCATCCCCTTTGTGTTGTGACCAAGTGGTTCTTGGGTTGGCTTCCGAAGAACCCAGGGTTGTGTGATTGATTATCGGGGTGTGGGTTGGCTCCGCAGCAGGAGGTGGTAGAGTTTATTGTGCTGAAATGCGCTTGCCGCAGCTCGGGCGCCATCGGTTATCATTGTTGTTGTGCCCGGTACGGACAGGTAGGCTTGGTGATCTTCGGTAGGCGCAAGAATCTCAGGGATCAATTCCATGTTGCTGGTACTGTAAATAGTACTTTGTCTATAGTATCGATCCTAAAGTGCTGATACATATTCTTTGTAAAAATCACCCCCCCAACATCTTCCGCAAGATGGCGTGAAAAGGCAGCACGAAGTGCCGAGCTGTAGTGATGGTGGCGACCCCCGTCTGAATTATGTCCATTGGAAGGGATTCTTTGGTGTGTGTGCATCGTGCGGTGGTGTGGTTGATGTTCTGTTCCGCCGCCCCTGTGCCGGCCGTAGCGCTTATTTTATGCACGAAAGAGAAGCATGTATGTGCAGGGTGAGTGTATTGATGGCGGGAGGCTGACGAACACCGACTTTCTGTACGCGGGGAGAGGGGGGGGGGGGTGGGGGGGGCGAACATATGCGAGAGGGACAATGGGGGGCGCGGCGTACAAGGGACAAATAAAAACATACACTTGTCGTGGTGGTTTGTAGGACTTGAAGTGCAACGGCCGGCCACATTTTCGAGCCTTTTTACCGTGTTTCTCTTGAGATGTTTTTTTGTCCATTGGGTCCCACTCCTAGATACGCATATGTGCTTTTTTGTTGTTTATTTTCGAAGCCGAAGGTGTTCTGTGTGGGGGCTGCTCTTTGTTGGTGGCCGAGGTTTGTCGTGCCTCAACCCCCCCCCCTAGTTACCCGCCGAGGCCTAGCTGCGTGGCTCCTTTGGTGCTGGCGTTAGGGGGCTCGAGATAGCCGTCTTGAACGAAGACGGTGTTATGTTTTTGCAGCATCAGGCCTGGCCTATTCTAGCTGTCGCAAGATGAAATCCAGTCGCAACAGCAGCCAACCAAGTCTTGTTGGGTACGTGATACATCTGTCACGGTCGATGCCGTGTTTAACACCCAGAGTGGTTCTTGCTCGTATACCTGTCTGTGCACATTAGTAGACCGCAGTTTCTCGTGACTTTAGCAAAATGTTTTTTTGTGTTCCTTTGCGTGCGGCCCAAGGTCTTGAGTGTGTTCGTCCTGCAGCGTGATCCATCCCACGAGATTTTTTTTAGGTGCGTTGTTTACGAAGCGATTGCTTGTAGTATGCACGTTGTTTTGTTTTGCAGAGTTGAGACTTTCGGTGTTCGGTGTACGATGTGCTTTCGCGCTGCTTGCGTCTGAACGTGTCGCAGGATCAATACGCCTGCGTCGTCCAATTTGTGTCCTCTTCGCGCACAGCCGATCATTCATGTCATCATGTGATGTTGTCTTTGGGACTGTTGAAGGTTAGACGCAGGGAGAGGTGGTTTAACAAAAGAAAGCATGTTTTTGCTAAATACAATCTCAAGAACGGCAGCGAGAGATACAAGGTACCTCCAGCGAAAGACGACGAAACAGGATGTACCATGTATTTATCAGCATTCCGCCCCCCCTTCGCGCAGAGGAAACAACGCACCCCACCAGACCGGGGCTACGTAGAATCACCCCGCTGGCCTCCTCAGCAGAGGAAAACAACACCCAGCCCCGGCCGTCTAACCCACGAACTGCCCTACAACTATCCTCAGATCTCAAACAACGAACACACACATGCTTTAGAAAAAATGTATATATCTCACGAGTTTTCAAAAACACATGGTACTGTACCGATGACAAATCAGGTGGAATCTTCGACAGCATACACGCATGCATGACGTACCCCGCCACTGGTAAAAATGAATGTTGTCGGCTTGGCTGCTCCACGTCACACCGAGCCAAGTAACGACCGAATACCAACGAAATGCAGCGAGCGGTGCCACACCACGGGAGGGGGAGCGCTTTCGACAAGTAAGCCCTCTCCCCAAATTCCACAACTAACTGCTTTCGCTCCGCATGACTACACCCCCCGAAACATAGATAGCCTCCTACGGCGGGAATGAATGCTGGTGAGCTAAGGTGCGAAATACGATGGTTGGGAACTCGGTAGCGTAGTGCCGAAGAAGCAGAAACGGATACCACACGCAGGCGGCCAAGCCAACGTGCAGGCGGAGGCCCCCGCGCCACCCTGCTCCCATGCCCAGCCAATCAAAAACTCCCCCTTCTGCAGGTTTATCCTTGCGCCGCACGGTCGCGATTCTGCGTCGCCTCAAGAGTGTGCAGATTTCCTGAGCAATTTGAACAAGCTTACACAGAAATAATATAATCAAGACACCAACGCACATTTATACAGCAGTCCGGGAAGCATCGTCAGGGCTGTAACCGAACACGCGGCGCAACGTGTCCTACGAATAGACGTGAAACACAAACGCCCGTCGTTCGCAAATGCAATGTGGGGTTCTACAACAGTACACGTGTATACTCCATACCACGCCCCCCCCCCCCCACC